TATCATAAAACTGAAGATGTTCTATGTTCCTATCATTTGCCGATAAGAAACGCATCAGTCTTGCAAGCTCAGCAGCTAGTATTTATGTGTATCTTGGTTTTGATCATGAACCATATCTTTTAGCAGGAAATTAAAATCTCTTGTGGAATAGTATCAAATCCATGCTTACAAAACACATCAGTGAAAAGCGTTGCTGATGTCTCTTCAGAAGATTTAACTTGACCATGTCACATTAATCACCTCTGAAGTAAAGGAATGACTCATAATTGTTTTCCATTACCTTGTGTTTGCTTTTTCAGCATTGCAAAAATGCCTGGGCCAGGACCGTGGATCATAAATCTCATCAGACTTGCGGACAAGTCTCTGAGTGTTTTTTGCCATCCTACGTTACATGTTAGCCTTTTTCTTCTGATTATAAAAATCTGTTTCAAATATAGGTACTTCTGAAGCATCGTGTTTTCAACCTTCTGTTCCTTTGAACACAATGCTCCTGTCAGTCCTTATAAATGGTAAAATTAATCTATAGGGCTGTTCCATATCCGCTAGGATAAGCTCACACCTATTTGCTTTTCAATGAAGTGCCTAAAAACTACTGTATACTAACACCCAAATAAACAGACTGTTTTTGCAGCTAACAGAAAGATCTTTTTGCTAATGCAGCAAAACCTCTATAAAGAAAAAGTTTATGTGATCACTTAAGGAAGCAATGGAAACATTTGTTTCTTAGCAGGACTGATGTTCTAATAAAGGTGGATTAGAAATGTGCTTCACATGTCCAGAAATGTTCCTTTTTTTTTTTTTTCTTTTTGAACAGGCTTTTCTGTATCTTACTGTTTCCTGAGCTTCTCTGTTATTTGGCTGGTTTATTTAGTCACTTCCCTGTACCAGCAGTACTGACCTTGGGTGTCATCATGATGAACAGCGCAATTTTACACAGTATAATCCATTTGAGAACGGTGTTTTACTGGCTTTAAGATCCTTACTGAGTCCTTCAAATGTGCACACCAATAGAGCACTCTTGACAGAAAAATGGCATCTCCTGATCCTTCTTTTGAAAAATGGCCAGGGCACATATGTT